GATGGAGGGGAAGAGAGAGGGAGAGAGGAGAGAGAAGGAGAGAGAGAGAAAGGGAGAGAGAAAAGAGGGAGAGAAGGAGAGAGGATAGTGAGAAGAGGAGAGGAAGGAGAGAGAGAGATGTAGGGAAGAGAAAGGAGAGAGAGTGAAAGGGGAGAAGAGAATGAAAGAGAAGAGGAGATTGGAGAGAGAGAAGAGAGAGGGAAGAGAGAGTGAGGGAGAGAAGGAAAGAAGGAAGAAGGAGAAGAGAAGGAGTGGGACAGAGGGAGGTAGTGAGTGAGAAGAAGGAGGAAGGAGAAGAGGAGGGATGCTGGGAAAAAGAGAAGAGAAAGAGAAGAAAGAAGAAGAAAGGGGAGAGAGAGAGAATGAAAGAGAGGGTGGGAGGCTGGTAGAGAGAGAAAGAGGGAGGAAGCTGGGACAAAGAGGGAGAAGAGGGACGGCGGTACGGAAAGAGAAAGAGGAAGGGAGAGAGAGGAGAGAGAGGAAGGATGCTGGGGAAGGAAAGGGAGGGGGATAGAAGAGAAAGAGAAGAAAGAAGAAGAAAGGGGAAGGAATAAAGAGAGGGAGGGAGAGAAGAGAGGAGAGAGGACAGGAAGGCGAGAGAAAGGAGAGATGTGGGAAAGAGAAAGGAAGAGAGAGAGAAAGGGGAGAGAGAATGAAAGAGAAGGAGGGGTGAGTAGAGAGAGAAAGAGAGGGAGGAGGAGGGACAAAGAGGAGGAGAGATGGTCAGAGAAAGGAGAGAGAAAGAGAGGGAGGACAGAAGAAGAAGCAGAAGAAAGAGGAGAGAGAGAGATGCTGGGAAAAAGAAGGAAGAGAGAGAGAAAGGGAGAGAGAATGAAAGAGAAGGAGGAGGATTGGTAGAGAGAGAAAGGAGAGAGGAAGGGAGAGTGAGGAGAGAGAGAGAGAAGGGGACAGAGGGAGGTAGAGAGAGAGAGAAGAAGGAGGGATGCTGGGAAAGAAGAAAGAAAAGGGGACAAGAGAGAGGGAGAAGAGGAGGAAAAGAGAGAGGGGAGAAGAGAGAGAGGAGAGAGAAGGAGGGAATTGGTTAGAGAGAGAAAGAGGGAGGAGGCTGGGACAAAGAGGGAGGAGAGAGGGAGGGAGGTACGGAAAGAGAAAGAGGAAGGAGAGAGAGAGAAGAGAGAATGAGAAAGGAAGAGAGAGGAAAGAGAAGGAAGGAGATAGAGAGAGAGAGAAGAAAGAAGAGAGAGGGAGAGGAGAGAGTGAGGGAGAGGAAGGAAAGAAGGCAGGAAGAGAGAGAGAGAGAAAGGGAGGGATGTTGGGAAAGAGAACAGGAGAGAAAGAGAAGAGAGAAAGGGAGAGAGAGAGAATGAAAGAGACGGTTGTTGGGAAAGGGAGAGAGAGAAAGAAATGGAGGGAAAGCATCTGCCCTGAGCTATGTGTTCTGTTTATTATAACAAAGAGAGGGGGATGAAGGGAGGGAGGGAGGAGAAAGAGAGGAGAGAGAGAAGAGAGAGAATGAAAGAGAAGGAGGGAGGTTGTTAGAGAGAGAAAGAGAAGGAGGAGGTTGGGACAGAGAGTGAGAAGAGAGGGATGGAGGGAAGGAGAGAGAAAAAGGGAGGGAAGGAGAGAGAGAGAGAGGGAGGGAAGGGAGAGAGAGAGAGAGAGAGAGATGTTGGGAAAGAGAAAGAGAAAGGGAGGGATTGAGTGCTAAAGACGGACATAGAAAAAAAGAGAAGGAAGAAGAAAGAAAAGGGGAGAGAGAGAATGAAAGAGAGGGACGTTGGGAGAGAAAGAGATGGAGGGAAAGAGTCTGAGGGAGGGAGGAGGAAGAGAGGAGAGAGGGATTGAGGAAGGGATTGAGAAAGAGAAAGAGAGGAGAGAGTGAGAGAGAAAGAGAGGGATGTTGGAAGAAGGAGAGAAAGCGACGGAAGGAAAAAGGTCTGCCCTGTGCTATGTGTGCTGTTTATTATGACAAAGATGAAAGGGATGGAGGTTGGGAAAAAAGAAAGAGGAAGAGAGAGAGACGGAGGAAGAGAGTGAAGGAGAGAGGGATGGAAGGAGGTGGAGAGAAGATGGGAGAGTGTAAAGCTAAATAAAGAAATGCGGGTAGAGGAGGATGAAGAGAAATGAGAGAGACAGAGAGGGAGAGACGGAGGAGGAGAGGAGGATAACGAAGGGAGGAAGGGAGGTGGAGAAAGAGGGGAGGAGCGGGAGGGTGAGTTAGAAAAAAGGAGAGAAATGAGGAAGCTAAAAGAAACGGGACCTGAGGGAGCGGAGGGGAGTCGGGTGGTCATATTTTGCAGGTATTGTCAACAAGTCCCTGTGTGGTTCTGAAAATAACTCCAACTTAATGAACGAGTGAAACGTTGCCAGGTTTGGTTTCGGTTTTGTCCCAGTTTTGGTTGAGCGGCTCAAGAGTCCACGGCCCGACTGGACTCTACAGCGCCCCCTGCTGTCCTCTGCTTCTCCAGATTCACAGCACACTCCTTACGGGATTTTTAAGTGATGGTGACACTTCTGGTCCAACACAACGACTGTAAATAAAAATGGATTTAGGCTACGTTCAGACTGCAGGGTTTAACGCTCAAGTCGGATTTTTTAGTGAAATCTGATTTTTTTTTTTGCGAGGTCGTTCACATCTGGGTCCGGTCAAGTGGTAACGGAGGGAAACAGGGGCAGATTTTTTACATTCAAATGTCTCTTATTCAGAAACTAGAGGGACTATTGAAATAAGTAAAGTATCAGAATGTAGGAAAGAGTTACACTCCAACAGGGTAAAGTTAAACCTGTGATATTCTTTCAAGTTGTTGACAAAAAATTTAAAAACTCATGTCGGTAACGGAGGGAATGAAATATGCAGCACTTTTTGGGCAATAAATACAAACAGTGATAACTCTTGGTTCTCACTTACATATCCTTAACAAACTGGTTTGAATATTTACTTCATATAGTTTTCTACCATATGGTACAAGATTAGGTTAAAAAACCTCTTACTTTTTGAGTCATGAGATTTTTTTATTAAGAAAGGTCATGGTAACGGAGGGAAAAGTAACGGAGGGAAAATTGTTCAAACAAGTAGAAGGTGCATGATTTTACATAATTTGTCGCTTTTTTCTTCCAAATACTTTAATATTACTTCAAAATGAAAGGAAACTATTTCTATAAAATATGTCAGTCCTTCCAAGAAAGTTTTATCATTTTAAATTTTTTTTTTGAAAAATCATGTACCTTCATCAACAGTTCAAAGATGGAATAACACAAGATATGATGAAATACATCAGTTTATTTACATGATTTTGCAGGTCTTTGAAATTTGGGAAATAATTTTTGTTCCATGTTTCATACATGGTCTGTTTAAAACATATGTAACTTTTAGAACCAAAAATGGGTACAGAAAAAAGGTCAACAGTTTCATAAACTAGAGTACATATGTATCTGTTCAATACATTTTTATATCAGATGCATTAACTTGAATTTTTGGCCTTGCTGTTTACTTCTGCTTGACTGGGCCCTTTTCCAATTAAATGTGACTTGTATGTGACTCCAGTGTGAACATTAAACGGCCCGAAAGTGTCCCGCACTGGAGACACGATGACGTCAAACCGCAGCGAGCGTGCTCTGTGTTTACAGAAGTTGTCCAAACATGGACGCGAGCATTGAGCACCTGGAGATTTTAAAGTTCCTCTCGTTCCGGAGCCAGAACATGAACAACTTACTTGTTTTAAGGAGGAGATTGAGAAGGAGAAGGACGAGGTTTTTGGCCGTGGTGTTTTGTGGGACAGCGGCAGCGACGTCCGTTGAAAGGAACGTGTGGATGTGGAGACGTAGCCAAGAGTGGTGAGTGGTGATGTGCTTCGCTTCAGTGACACGGAGTTCATTAACAATTTTCACCTACTTCAGCTCAGAATAGTGACGTTTGTTGCTTGTTGATAACGTGTAGGTCGGATGAATGCACTTTGGCCGTTCAGACTGAAGTCGCATGTCAAAAGATCAGATATGTATCGGTTTCAGAAGCACATATCCAAGTGTCCTGGGTCGCATTTAAAAAAAACAGATCTGTGTCGTTCAGACTGTCATTAAAAGATCAGATACAGGTCACATAGGGCCTATATTCTTTAACAACCGTCACACTTTCTTTAAATATCAGACAAACTGCACGGTCCTTACGTTGAACAAAAAAATAATTGGTCGTCCTCTGTTCTTTGAAAACTCCACACTCTCTGTCAACTTTTCGTACTTTTAACACTCGCCATTTTTCTGTCCTTAACTGCACTACAGAACTCTGCTTGTGCGTCGACTGTTACCGTTTGATCTCGAGCTTGTCAGGTGACGAAAGTTACGGCAAAAATACCGTTCATATTAATAATTTACAAGTTATATCATAAGTATTAAATTATATTTGGAACAACATTATTTTTCCAAATATTCATTACAATAACTATCATTTAGATTGCAACGTGTTTGTCATCGCAAAAACATATACTTTCAAAAAAATAAAGTTCATCCTATGATCAATTCTTGTAGGTTCGTTTTGAAATCCACACTTTCGCAGTCTCATTTTTAAATGTTAAAACCGAGCCAATTTCTAAAGGTCGTCAAAACGTCTTTAGTGATACAGCGGAGGTGTCAAAAGTCGTCATTCGTCAAATGTCGTCTTCATGGGGGAAAGCGTTAAAAGCAAAACAAACATGACAGCTTGGAAAAAACCAACAAAAGAGTCTTGAGAAATAGCACAGACTTGAACAAAATCAACAGTCGAAGCAACAAACTATTACTTATCTCAGGTAAAAGAAGTTCTGTATTATTTATGTTCTGAATATTACGAGAATTTTTGAGAAGAGATGTCTGCAAATTGCTACAAATTTGCAGCTGTGGTTGGATCGTCTCGAGTTTGGATGGATTTTTTTTTCAGTTTTTGCCCATGTACCACTAAGAAACCTACTTGGATGATTATTTAAAGCTGAAAATCACATTATATCACTAAATAAAGGTTGTTTGTGTTGACGTCGTAGTATCAGGATGCTGTATGAGTTGTTCCTTACTTGCAGTAGGTGTGGTTGATCATGCCGTACACGTGGATCTCTTTGCACATGTCCATGGCCAGGATCAGAGTGAACCAGCCCGTGCTCAGGTACGAGCCCGACTGGATCCTACAACACACAAAAACACAAATATAAAGGTTAGTCAGAGGCGCCAAAGAGCACAGGAGCCAAAAAACGTACTCGAGTAAGAATAACATCACCTCAAAATAATATTAGTCAAGGAAAGAGGCTACATTAACTCATATTATTTACTTGAACATTTACTTTTCTAGCAGCATCGGTTTTCTCTTTGAAGTTACAGTACTCTTACTTGAGTAAAAGTTGTAGTTCCTCTTCCCACTGTGAGTGACAAAAGCTCTATGTTGACGATATAATATGGTTAGAACATTTGTGTTTCTTGCGGTGCTCCTTCACACATGATTTAGGCTACGTTTATAAGACGACGGTCCGAGCAGAAGATGCAAAAGTGCCGCCGTGTCTTCACTTTTTATTCCGCGTTTAGACGAGCGTTTTCGGGAAGAAATCTGTGTGTATACGGTGACGCAAAAGAGTGGGGAATTAGATCGGGTATGCATGTAATCCGACGTGTTTGTTTCTGTGTACTGTAAACGTGTACGCGACGTGAGCAGATCTGACCAGAGTTTTGCGTCTTGGGCAGTGTAGACGGAAACGCTACGGCGGAAAGTATTCAACTTTTCCACTCTGGAGTTTGGTTTCAGATTTTTGCTTTTTTAAGCCCCAAAAACGCCGTCACCGTCTAAACAAAAAAGGCACTTCCGATAAAATATTTTGTCGTTTTTACCCGCAAGCGTTCTCTCATTTTTGTGTCTGTCCTTCGAAAACACCAGATTCTGCGACTTATTTATTATTTATGTTTTGTCCTTCCAGTTAGATTCACTTCAAATTACTCTTCAAGTTACTCTTACTGTACATAAGCAGTAGCCCCTCACCCACACATACATTTTTTCTTATGAGTAATGTCTTGGACCACTACTTTGTACTAGAGATGTAACAATATCCAAATCTCTCAGTGCAATATTTTCACGATGTACGTCTCAATGTACGATATTTATTGCGATGTTTCGTGGAGGCGAACAAAACTGTGAATTTTTGACTTAATCCAAAGAGCTAAGATTTAAAAGTGCTTAGAACTGTTATTTCTTCATGTAGTCTGCACTGAAATGGAGCAAAGGATCATGGTCTATGTAGTTCCGTCCGTTTTTTAGCTGTTGCTGCACCACCGACTATTAATTTAAGCGAGGAGACTTGTAATTCGATTTATTGTGATGGCCCACGATATAATTGTGAGAACTTTGATGAAACGATATGACGATATTTCGGCTATTGTTTACATCCCTACTTCGTACTTCTACTTGAGTAATATTATTTTGTGAGTAACATTACTCTTACGTCGGTGTAATATTTGGCAACTCCACTCATTTCTGTGCTATAATAACTGGTCCAAGAAATTTCACAAAGAGTAAAAAACGTTTGGGAAAACTACTATTCAAGTAAGACGAACTTAAAGAGGAACTGTCCACGTGTGACATCTGATTTATGTCATTTGAAGTTAAAGTAATTTGAAGGACAAAACATTAAATAATCCACAAAGTCAAATCTGAAGGAGCGCTGCAAGAAACACAAAGGTTCCAATCATTTCATATTGTTGACATAAAGCTTTTGTAGCTTATAGACTAAGGGCCTGTTTACACGAAAACGCTTGCGGGTAAAAACGACAAATATTTTTATCCTTTCGTTTCGTTTAGACGGTGACAACGTTTTTGGGGCTTAAAAATGCAAAAATCTGAAACCACGCTCCAGGGTGGAAAAGTTGAATATGCTTCGCCGTCGCGTTTCCATCTACACTGCCCAAAATGCAAAACTCTGGTCAATCCGTGTATCATTCGTTCATTCGTTTTTCAGTATAAAATTAAAAATAAGAAAACGAAAAAACAACCGTTTTCTTCGTTATTTGTCTCCAAAACCAAAATGAAAAAACGGATAACGATTTGTTTTTTCAGTTTTCGATTTTGTGTTTAAATGAAAAATGGAAAAAACGGATAACGGTTTCCCGTTTACGTGACTTGATGACTGCGATGCAGGATACAGGACTGGATCCAGGTCCGAGACCAGACCGAGACCAGAGCGGGACTGAGACCGGGACCGGGACCTGAGACCGGGACCAGAGTGGGACTGAGACCGGGACCAGACCGAGACCAGAGCGGGCCTGAGACCGAAACCGAGACAAGACCAGGACCAGACCGGGACCAGACCGGAGGCTCAGAGCCCACGGCAGGGCCGGAGCTCGAAGCTGAGGCTCGGACCCCGTGGAGGCTCAGAGTCAAAGCTCGGAGTCCGCCCTGGTCCCCCGGTCTGGTCCCGGTCTCAGTCCCGCTCTGGTCCCGGTCTCAGTCCCGCTCTGGTCCCGGTCTGGTCCTGGTCTCAGTCCCGCTCTGGTCTGGACCTGGATCAGTCCCGGTTCAGTCCGTATGCGGTGCAAAAGTTCGGCATCGCAGTCACTGAAGTCACGTAAACGGGAAACGGCCGTTATCCGTTTTTTCCATTCTTCATTTAAACACAAAATCGAAAACTGAAAAAACGAATCGTTATCCGTTTTTTCATTTTGGTTTTGGAGACAAATAACGAAGAAAACGGTTGTTTTTTCTTATTTTTGGTTTTATATTGAAAAACGAATGAACGAATGATACACGGATTGTGGTCCAATCTGCTCACGTCGCGTACACTTTTTACGTCACATACATCACCACCGAGCCGCCTGGCATGCAAACCCAATCGAATTCTACACACTTTTGCGTCACCGTATGCACGCAGATTTCCTCCTGAAAACGCTCGTCTAAATGAAAAGAATCAATAGCTGTTTATTTCGGACAGAACATAAATACATAGATATAACACAAAAAAGTAAATATTTCTTTTCTATAATAATAACAAGCGAAAATAAATCACGCAGATTTTACTTGCGTCCGAAAAAGGAAAATCGCGGAATAAAAAGCGAAGACGCGACGCCACATCATATCAGCGTAGCCTAACATTACTCTTTTCTTTTCTTGGGTACAATATTTGGCTACTCTACCCAGTTCTGTGCGAGTAAAAAGCACAAAGAGTAAAAAGTATTTGGGAAATCTATTCGCGTAGGACAAAGTTAAAGAGTAACTGTCTGAACGTGACATCTGATTTATAACTTGAAGGACAAAATCATATCTGAAGGAGCGCTGCAAGAAGAAGTTCAAATCATTTCATATTGTCACATGATGCTTTTGTCACTTGTAGATTTATTCACAGTGCAAAGTTTACTCAAGTAAGAGTACATGTAACTGAGAGCGAGCCACATCTGTTCAGAAGAGAAAAACCAGACCACTCTACGAACGAGATTTACATGAGAATGAGACCGGGGCATCTGAATTAAACAGAAACATGTTTGTGACCTCTGCTCTCTGCACTAGAACGCCGCATTCACGATTCACGGTGTTGTTATTATTACAGCGGAGAGCGGATCAGAGCCTCAGACACACTCCAAATGTAAAAATGTAAATGAGAAGAGACACAAAGGAGACACTATACGGTCCAAACTATACACGCATCTGCATTTCTATTCAGGAAAAATACAGCTTTCACTTCCAGGCACCGGAAACACCCACAAGCTGAGAGTGAGAGGACATGTTCAGATCACACACTGCTGGATAATAGAAGCGGACAAATGAAGCTCATCGAGGGTAGAAGTTACACCGGCTAATCTGCTCCCAGGACCTTTATATTTGGAAATCTAAATGCAAAACAAAAGAGAAAAAAAAGCCAATTAGGAGCCAGGTCGCTGAAGTTACACGCCCCCTTTCACCACCATCACCAACAACAATCAACCTATTTCTCATGCTAGGCCAGTTTATGCCCCTTTAAAGGTTGTATAGAGGATTTTTTTTTTTAAGGGAAGAGAAATACAGCGACAGTCCTTGTGCGCGTTCAGAATTACTGTTGAAGTTTCCTGTCTAGAAGTAATTCAGCGACCGACGCGTCAAGTTTTAGACCCTTCGTCTGCTTCGGTCGCGCCATCGCTGGACGAGATCTCCAAGAATCACCTCAGTTTGTCTTCGCTCTTTCTCTCCTTCTTCTCTTCTTCTTTCAGCGACCTCAAAAACGGACTTTCTTTTGCGGCGAACCGGTCGTGGATTCTCGTTCCGCCGTCGCGACAAACTTTGTGCGAAATGCGAGGAAGCAACGTAACCACGTAATCCCCGCGCTCCGACGAGTCAGTTATACTAGGGAGTTTGATTGACAACCTAACAGCCAATAGAAAATGAGGGAGCCTCGTTTTCTATTGGCTGATGTTTATCTGGCCTCAACACGTCCACAGTTGATAGATTTTCGTTCTTTTTTTTTTTTTGGTCATCATAATTACAAAGCTGCTGCGTCTCTGTAATGATATTTTAATCTTTCACTGACAGTTTGAAACTAAAAAAAATCTTCCATACAACCTTTAAGTCCGGGTATAGTCCAGACGGGCACTCTGGATTTCCCCATCAACCAAAAACATGCACAATTGATGCTTATAGTAGAAGTTGTAGTCAAGATCGCAGTAATAGAAAGCAAGACCAGTCTGAGAACACAGGGTCCCGAGACCGAGACAAGACCAAGACCTCTGAGGGTCAAGACCGAGACAAAACCAAGACTTTTAAAGGTCGAGACTGAGACAAGACAAGAATTTTTAAACCTGTTTTTTCAAGTTCCTAACTGGAGTCATATTCTCTTACTGGTTTTACAGTGGGATTTATCCTCTGCACATTGTGACAAATACAGATGCGTTTGTGCACTTTTATTAGGCCACTTCAACCACATCACGGTAGGAAGTTAATTGCCGACTGTAATGAAATATGATCGCTCTTGTGGAGTGTCAGACCTCGTGTCCAAGACAAGACCGAGTCCAAACACGGTCGAGTCCATAAAGAGACCAAGACCATAAAAAAAAAACAAAAAAAACAGTCTTGAGGCGAGCACTACAACACTATTTGGCAGTGACATCGTACATGTATGTGTATGGAGGAATGTTCATTGGTTACCATGGAGACACAATGCGCCCAGCGGTGGTGCACGGG